AATAACCAAAAAATGTTTGCTTCTCACTTCTTAAAATCTTTCCTGTAAATCCTCTGCAATAAATGTTTACTGTATTCGAATCTTTTGCAAATTAACGTCCTAGGTGGTATTAAATGTTTGTCTTGTGCGTCGATCCAGGTAGAAAAACAGGACAGGCAGATAATCTTTTCACTTTTCTATTGTTTTACCAACGTGCTACATTATCGACAGCAGATTGAAGACCATCTGTGCACAAGCGGAGACAGTCTATGACCGTAGAGTAGTGGGGATGGTCCGCCCGCCTGTTTTCCACTTATTTGCACACGCATGCGCGTCAGAACCTTCTGGTTCGCTTGGTCGACCTGTAGTTAATGTATTTATATAAACGGTTTATTAATTTTCTATTGTAACAGTGACGAAACTTGTTAAAGTTGAACTACAAATATGATTTAACCTTTCGTAGTAAAAAAAATGCGCATATTGAACATGGATGAATTATTGTTTTATAGGATTCCACAGACAATTTTGCGATTCAAATTACGTTGAACGTAATCGGATGTTACCGTATTAAATCGACATCTTTTGTCTCGTAAGCTTGTCGTAGTATAGTACAAAATATTTCGTACAATTACTATGTTGTATTGTATTGTATAAAAAGCTATTCTAATATTGACGGCTGACCGTAAAATGGTACAAGCGCTTTCTAGGAAACAATTAGATATAGAAGTACAATTTTTTCCTGATACCTATTTTTTGAATTCTATATTCTGATAGTAACCCCCGCTCCGCCCTTTATACAACGAAAGGGTACGTTAATTTTTCCATTTTATGAAGGTCTACTTGAAAAAATAAAAACCAGAAAAAAACAATATTTGTTGTAAGTGTTTCTTACAACCCACGCATAATTTAACCCTAGGAACGGTCACGCCTATCTATATCACCCGAGAGGTCAGGGACGAGCACGGCGCTCCACCTTTGTATTTTTATCTTTACTAATTTTTTTTTAAGGACTTGGCGTAAATTACTTTTTTCGACCAGTGGTAGCAATAAACGTAAACATTAACTGTATATTTTTAGCTAAGCTAGAATAAAATGATTTTATTGTTGTTTTCAGCATTAGCAGCATTTTTTCAATAGAACTTGGAAAAAGCTTTTAGATAATCGCTGCAAAGGAACTTAATAGCATATGAACATTTTCACATAGTTTTTCTGATCTTCTTCTTAGAGCAGTTACTTTTCCTAAGCGAGTCCTAATTCGTGTCGTGAGAGAAGTTTTTTATAGTTCTGAAAACAGGTTCCCTATTTTAGAAGTGAAATTCGAAGGCTTCCACTGCTGAATATTTCAAAAATGATGGTCTCGTGTACGTACCTCTCAATCGGTATTGCAATTGAAGATAATTTTACTGCTTATTCCTGTCACGTTTAATAGACAATAAAAAAAATTGTTAACGGTCACATATGAGTAATCCTAGTAACGGAATATTCTGCTTTTATCTTATTAACATCCACTTCACTCTTTGTAAGATTGTAGAATGTAATAACTTCGGGTTTGTTTTTTCCACTTGCTATGCTATCGATTACGTCATCGTTATGCATACTGAAGATTACTCTAATGGTTTTGTTTTTCTTAGATACATATGGAGCAACCATAAACGTATTCATTGAGTTGAAACAATACATATTCGCACATACTTAAATTTCACGAATAAAGTGCAATATCACTTTGAAACTTACATAAAAATCACGAAGGTAACGTGTGTAAATTTTTTAAAAGCGATCTTTCCGAAGTTTATGACGATACAAGCCAACGGCGTTGTGTATATGTCATCGAAAACATCAGACGCTGAACGGTTTTTAACTATTCTACACCATACTCGCTTTATTCATAAATAAGGTTCTGTTAACCTTCAAATCTTCATGTTGATCGAATAGAGATCGACGTAAAAATAAAACCGTCAAAATTCAAAACGTGCTCTATGTAATTCCTCGTCTACCCACTTTCTGCGCCAACCTTCCCGGCACCACGTGCGCAGTAGAAGTAGCTAAGTCACTTGGACCAATCACTGCTCGCCACGTCATTCGTGACAATACATGTTTAGATGTGTGGTCGCTACCCCCTCCAACGAAAAAGCGACGTTGCTTGAGTTTGACAGAGAAGCAGTTAGTTCTGGGCAGATCTAGTTGTATAGAAAATTGATTGGCTTTCGGTGGAAGTTAATTGCTTCGCATTTTGCTATGAAGATCGGGTGATGATGACAATGATTACCCTAAGTTGTTATCAATAAGGAAAGCTAGTATAAGTCTGTAAATACTGGCGCGTTTGACGTCAATGATGAAATCATTCTCATATCGTTTTATGATTAGACTGTTTTATGAATGAACTGAAGTTGATGTAAAAATAGCGTTTATCCCAGAGAGCATGTTAACAACAATCTTCTTGGAACGAGGATGTCCGTCTGCAACTAAAGATTGAAGATTTAACTTATGCATGTTCTTCAGAGAAACTTTTTTAATATAAACATAAACACTGCCTTCGATGATAAACCTATTAATTTATCCTTTAACATTTCCGGTTACTTCTTCGTAGATTTATATCTCATTAAGTATTCACACCATATTTATAGAACACTTTTTTCTTCATGTTACCTCCGTAATCCCCCTTGCGTACCGATTTAATTTCAAGAAAGTTTCCACATAAATTCGAATTAATTTTTCTCAACAGGTTCCAATACACCGCGCTCACAAATAATTCATCGCGTTTCTTTTCATAATTCATTCATTTACATAAAAGAAATGGTGTAGTATTATAGGCCACTATAAGTCACGAAAAAATATACATATACAGGGTGTCTTTCTTAACTGGACACGGAAGAAAGAAAATGAGGCTATCGAAAAAATGTTTTTACAGAAATTGTTTGATATGATGTTGCATTTTATGTGTTGTATAAATAATTCTTTCCACGGGTGAAGTAGTGGGGAAGATTTCAAGGTCAAATTTATTGTTTTAAATGAAACAAAATGATTTTTTTCGAATTTAAATAATATTTCATTGAAGTATTTGTAATGCATCAATTAACGAAGTCGTAGTATATTTTGAGGTTATGTTGTATCTTACGTAAGTGTACAATATGTGCTTGAATAGCAAGAGTTGCGTCAAATCAAAGGTCAATGGTATCTTGATCTATCGAATTGCGATGTAAAATTGTAAATTGGTTTTAAGTTTATCAACAATCAACAGTTAATACCGAAAATATCACATTGACGTTTCGTAACGTTGAATTTGATTGCGTATGTAATTCAGCGTGCAGCGAGAAACTGAACCGACCGGCATTTACATTTATAAAATTTTAATTTGTGAGTCACAAGTGATTACGTGGCCTTTGATCGACTTTCACCTGTCTTACGTTACGTAACAAACTGTTAAGGTACTTTATAATTATTATTAATGTTTAGAGAAATGTCATGGTTACGAAAATCTTGACCGTGCTGATATCACGTCTCAGAACTCGTTTGTTGTGTCATCAAAAATCCACCAGCTTAGTAATCACGATAAATTAATCTCTTTGATAACGTTTTTCTTTTTAACTGTCGTATAACATTTCAATTTGTGCTCGTTTCAGTGCTGCTTAATGAAAAAAAATAAGCTCTAGTACAGTCTTAGAAAAAGTATGTAGTACTATTAAAAAAAAAAAAAAAAAAAAAAAACTCAAGGTCATCTTGATATCTCGATAAATAGAGATTCAAAATCTAAAATGTCTCCGTTTAACGATCCCAATCCAACTCACATATTTGATGAAAAACATTTTTTGCAAAAGTCAATAAATAATAAGTTACTTCAGAAGGCAGTTGTTATTGACTCAACCAATATGTACATACATATGTATATTCTGATATATATATGTTTCACGGATGAATTTTTTTTAAATTTGAAAAAAAAAGTATATTTAATTATCTTAAACACATGTAAAAGCAATAATCTTCAAAATTGTATTACTTTTTAATTTACACTTATACTTATCTGTACAGTTGAGTCTGCAACTAATATAGGTAAATAATTCATAAATTAAATTTTACTTATCGTAACTATTGTTTGTAACTTGTATATTTAAGGGATAAGGTATCCGAAATAATTCTGAAATTTTTCGCTTAAGAATGAACTTAAGTTTGAATGAAATTATTTTTTTTTTCTAGATGTTCAAACAAATTTTATTGGAAATGATTGATTTCTAATTGTTTGTGTCATTTTACACGAAGAAGATCAACGATAAATGTTTGACTTTCTGAGAATCAATTTTGCTTTAATTGGACAAGCAAAATCATTCCTGTAATCGTTCCAACGAATATAAGAGCCACACGACCCCTACCATCACTATGCCGGTTCCCCCACCAATCAGCTGGCCGGCCACCGCTCCATGTATAGTGTTCACAGTTTGTAGCGTTTGAAATAACTACTAAATGGTAGTTGATACGAAAAAAAAAATGTAAACACATTTTTGCTTTTCATGTAGAATATAACAATGCAAAGCAAAGATTTTTCGTTAAAATTTTTCGAGGTCATTTCAAGGTTAAGTTAGGTTTTGCATTTTTAAATAGAACGTTATATTTTTATTTCAGTTAGTGAGAAGAAAAGAATGAATTTAAAATACTACATTCAAGAGTCTTTTAATCGATCCAATGTCGCGTTGAAACGGTTAAGGATGAAGTTTTTTGTCCTTTTACTCTCTTTGTTTGCCTAGTTGAGAATTTTATTAGATTTGTTACTGTCGTACTTTCAACTCTAGTGTCCTATTATTTTTTCAAATTCCCAGAAAAGAATGTATGTAAACAGCCGTTGACCTTCTTCCATGTTATTAAGGAAGGGATAATTTCTATGTTTATGCGTGTATATACAATTTTGCTATATTGCATTAGATTTGAGGAACACTAAAAATCCTCAGGTGTCTTATTAGTAACTTACTGACTTAATTAATACAGAGGGCGTGGAAGTTTTGTTTACGGGATATTTTATCTCTTTTTCGCAGGAATAAGAATGAAGCAATGTGAATCACTGAAGAATATCCTGTGGGGATCACTACTTTTTCTACAGGATTGATGACCATGTGCACATCAAAAAACGCAGACAATGATTCCCCAACGTTTCCAGAACTTCCCTTTCCTTTAACAATGTCCTTCATCGAGAACTGTATTTACAGAGGCGAAGGGAATGCTAACGTCGTTATAGCACTGCCACAAGTAAGTAATAAACCTCTTCCTCTACTTGTTGGAGAATACGTTATCGATGTCTTCTTTGTTAGGTGTTTCCTTCGAACAGTTCGCACCAAGCATTACATTTTTTCAAGGCTTTTGAATAATTGAATTTCAAAGTACATACGAACGAGTAAAGAAAATATGTCAGTCTTTTGTAATGAAACTTTACATTTCGACATACCAGCACAGCAAAAATTTCACAAAATAAAATATGTAAATGATTGCAGCAAACAAACAACAAGAATTTATTGACAAAATATGATATCATTCTTTGTTTTCCAAAACGCCAGTTCTTACTTCATTCGTTGATATACGCTAACCTTAGTCTAAATGTCAAGGATATGAAATACATTTCTTTATTATTTGTCGGTAACGAAGAAAACAATATATTCTTGCTGTTTCTTGACAACGTTGATTTTGTATATTATGTAACCTAGAAACTGCCAATTAAAATTTATTAAGTAATTTATATTGATGAACACCGTTAACATACGGTACATGAATGTTTTCCAAACGGGTTGTCCATTTCAAACTTGTGAGTGTATGTATCACGATAATTTCGCGCATGCAACGTTACTAACCTAACCTAATCTAACCACGTGATCTGATTACATTGAAATTTCAACAGTATTTGTTTCTGTAGCCAATACCCTTCTCGGTTATATACGATTCTGATTGTAAGATTGGAATTGGATAGATGGATGACTTCCTTTAACATTCAACGTTCAAATTTAAATCAGAACGCACAATCTGTTGTGAAAAAACGGAACCATTTTATGCAGTCATTTTTCTTCTTCTTTTATTTTTATATAAAGAAACATCGATGTGAACAATTTAAGGTCATTTTACAGGAAAAATTTTTTTTAAGTATCTATTCTACTACTGCCTATAATTTTGATATTACAATTTTGACTGTAATTATTTCTTACGGATAAATTGAAAAAGGAAAAAAATCACATGTATCGGGAATCAAACCTCGACTTTCCGCGTGTTAGATCAGCACGCTACTTTTAGCCCGTCTTTCCAAGAAGCGTCACTTCCCAGACGCGTATTAGACGCGACATTGCTTGCTTATACGTTTCCGTACAGAGGGCAATGTAAAACAATGTATGCCCGTCCACGAAGCATCGTCACGCTTTCGTCGTGATCTTCATTCGTCATGACGCTCAGCGTATGACATTGCTGGACACAAGGCATACATTGCTGCATGTGTTCCTTCTGGTGTCGCGTTTTTTTAAATGTACAGGGTGTCTCATTTAAATCCATCCCCGCGAATATCTTCGAAAGTATTCATGATACTAATAAATGTTTCAGATAAGAGTTGAATAGCTTCGACGGGGATATAATTTGTTCTGTTTGTTTCTTTTTGTTGGTGGACGCATAGAGGACATATGAAGGTCAAATTTGTTTTTTTATATGGAATTAATGTTTCTTAGTACATTAACTGATGCAGCTTTTTCCGTGTTTGAAAATGCATATGAACGACGAATGTAAACGCGACTAATTTTTTTTGGAAAACAAATCAGCTCGTGTAAACGTACCGAGTAAAGTTTTAATAGAATATTGTCATTTTTTCTGCGACATTTTTCTCGGTAAAGTGTAACATTCGTGCGAATATTACGTGCATTCACGGCGATGCATAGATGCACAATAAAAGGAAGTAGCTACGTATGTACGTACATGCATAGATAATTAAAAGAGATGTAAATGACGTATGAGAAACTAGTAAACACGTCAGCCGATATATCGATTGAAAGTTTATAAAAAACGACAAGCACCTGAAATGTTCACATGGATGCCACAAAATCAGTTGTTCTAGATTTTATTTTTGCTCGGGTGTATTGACATCGCTTACCTACATCAACTTTTTAATCGATAACGCGAAACCGACTTACCGCTGAATTTTTCTTCAACTAGTTTACCGTTAAATCTGTTTGCTGATTCTGAAAGATAGAAATACAAATTTACCGATGTTCAGAAGTTTGGTCGCATTACACGTCACTGCATTGTTGCCAAGTTGTCTAATATCCTTCCTAGGATGTGTTAATTTCCATGAAGATTTACGTTATACAGAACGGAAGGTGTTGAATTGTAACTTTTACCAGTGCTATTCCTGTCTTATATCATAGTAACCGCAAGTTCGTTACTATTCTTTTTATATTTCGCATTTTTTTTTCAACTTCTTAACAAAACTTCAAACGACCTATGTTTATATAACATTTCTTTCTTATACCCATAGAACATTCTGACAAAGTTTGATCGTAAAAAAATTGGGACACCCCGTATATAGTAATAGGAGGCTTGGCTAGGACTAGTGAGAAAGGTTAACGTTAGTTCGTCCCTCTGGCGGTGGTGTGTAGGAGGTACCGCCACGATATTATTAAATTATCCATACACGTTTAAAATCTAAAATAAATACATATAATGTCATACGTCTAAATTAAACGTGAATTTAACGTTAAACAAGATGGCAATTTGCGTCATGAATTCCTAAAATATTTTTACAAAGGTTAGGTTATCATTGAAGCGTATTAACAAGGAAAAATGCAAGTATAAAGTAATGTTAATAAAATTAAGTAAAAATAATACTCCGTTAGAACAATTTTAGACTACTTTGGGCTGGCTTTTATAGCGGCCGTGAGTTTTTATACTATAATCGTTCATAGTGAAGCGAACAACCGCGAGTTACTCATCAAACCCGCCCGCTTGACTGCTTGCCCGGCGTGTACAATCGAACTTGCAAGCGTTTAGCCTATGTCTCGGTGCAGACGAGCGATGCGACGTTGTTGTGGTTTCACAGTGGTGGCGCTGAGCGATTCCGGCAGGTTTATATTTCTCGTAGCGGAATCGCACGCTCTTGTGTACATTGTGTCATTAGAAATGTAAAGCTGCCGAATCGCGTAGCGTCACCGTTGCGAGATGTCGTTGCGATTTCGCACTGGTGACGCTGTCTCGATTCGGCAGGTTTATATTTCAAATGATGCAATGCACACAAGAGCGTGCGATCCGGCTACGATGTCGCAAGTCACCAACGAAAGCGCAACGATCGCACGACATTTGTCGATTCGCACGACTGTCGCGCCGGCGATACGGAATCGCAACGAGTCGACAGGACATTGCAATCATTGCTGGCGTGCACACGGACGATTCTATCGCAACCACTATTACGATTGATTCTATAGACATTGAAATTTTTATTGAACCCAGCCCGGAAGTGTCCCGAAATACAGGATGTGTCAGTAGAAACGTATCATGATAAAAATAAAGAAAGGTTAGGCATGGGTTAATGTGTGCAAAATATTTTATAAGTGTCAGGGCCTAAGAAGTATAATATTAGAAACATTTTTTTGTATTTTTAACAATTGTACGTTGCTGGTGAAAGTTTACAATCATTTTAACATTTGTAGCATTTTCTAATGAAATCTAATTCGTTGTAAATGCACCATGAAAAAATGAACCCAGTAACTTTTGTTATTTTCTTCCAGAATATAGGTTATGTAACAAATAGTTCATTATTTATGTGGTCACACAAAGTAGTAGAAAATTATTTGAAAATTTATTTAAATAACAAAACTGTTACAGAATTTGCATTTTTTAAATGTTTACAATAATTATAAAGTACAGAGGGAAAAGAATGATTACGTGTATCGTGAATTTTCATTTACTACTAGATACTGTGTATGAGCGTATGAATAAATAGTCTGACAAATACCTGCGTACTGTATTGGTTTAATGAAAACTCTCGGAAGAGACTATAACCCGATTCATAACCAGAAATCAATAATTCCTTTTAGATTACAATGGTGAGCCCACTGAATCTGAAATTCATGTCCTTTTGTACGTCGATAATTAGAATAAAACATTGTGGAGACAGGGCGGTATTCTGTGCGGGGATCTCCCTACTGTAACGTAGGGGAGCTGTAGTCTAGACATAGCACGTTTCAGTAGCCCGGAAGGGTCCGTACGTAACAAATTGTTTTACGTTTACACAATGGTGTATCACTATGGTAAGGTATCAAAAGGAAGTATTATCTTGAAATAGAGCTTAAATACGGCGTTTGAAATGGTTACGTATCGGCTTCCTTTATTCAATTGTCTAGAATTTTAACATTGATTATAATGAAAACCGTTCGAGATACAAAGCTGAAATATTACATAATTTATGTTTCTCAGTTGTTCGTTGTCAATTTCTGCAAATATAAATGTTTATAAAATTTATTTTAAATGTTTCCTTTTCACGTTGTATGTGAACACTGATATGCATATAATATACGTATGTATATATTACTAATTTGACAAATTTATTAGTGCAATATTTTAGTAATTTATTAAATTATTACTTGTTTAAAAAATCTTGTACTTGTTGTGTTCAGATCAGCTATAAAATGTTTAAAAACAGCGTTTTATAAATTTATCGATCATATATTCGAAAGTTAGCATTCCTTTTCGTTATATCTTCGTCCCCATATGTTTTAGGAGCACCAAGTAATTCGATTCCGGAAGTCGCTGCCGGACAATGTTTCACCAGATGGCGGCAAACAACGAGCCGAACGTGAAGTGGAATTCGTGAGATTCGTGGCTTCCTCTTTTTTGGGGCAGTACACGCAAATTCCTGAGATTCTTCGTCATGATATGAAAGATATTACCCGACTTATGGAAGTCATTCAACCTCTTCGACCAGGTAACACGCTTATAACCTAAAATTCTCATGTGAAATCATACACAGACATTTTCCAAGATTTTCGAAATTCTTCTTTACTACAGGCCGAAATCTTTTTGAAGATTTTATTTGAATAAAAAAATATACAGAAAAATTATCTAGCGGTTTGAATAAGATTTATCCTGAGTTATGCTGATGTGAGATATATCGATGTGACACTATGTTTCGCTGACATTTTTCTATGCTAACGTAGTAATTACATACAGCCATTACGCAATACTTTTGATAGCACAGGCGGACGCAAAATTTTGTGCACGCATGATTAACTGCATTTAAATTCAACCATAATTGCAGTGACCGTAAATTGTAGAACATATATATGATAAAGATGTTATAATTATAATTTTCTGTTGCATAATTTAGGGCCATGTAAGAATTAGTACTGAAGTTAACCACGTATAATAGGTATAATTATTATACTGAATACATGAAAATTTTCAAGTTCGTTGTATTAATTGACATGGTACTGACAGAATGTTCGCTTTTTATGTAAAATTAAGAGTACACAATGTCTGTACGCTCGAAAAGGTACATAAACGCAGATGTCTGTCGGTAGTATCGTTTCTCGTGAAAACGACAGGTGTTGGGTTGCGGTAACTAGCCTCGGATCCTCATATTTTTTCAACTTTCGTTGATTGCTCAGGTAGTGTGCCTTTCTTTCTGCTCGTCCACCTGCTGGTTGCATCTTTCCCATCCAAAGAAAAATGCGCAGCTTATACGCGTACATACCTTCCAGTAATTTGAGATTCTTCTGGCACCTGTGAAATCTTATATGACGCTTTTTAACATTAGTTTTAGCTATAAAATTCAAGTGTTCCTTCATTCGAACTAGTTTCATACTCTGATATAAATTACGATGAATCCTTGGACACCAACATTTCAGTTATTTTCACCGCAGATCGTTTCGCCATTTATATTATTAATTTCGTCATAATATTTTTGCCAGCGCTTTGTTTGATTATTAGTGTCCGAATATTTTTCGGAGTAACTGGTATTATTGTGCTACGTATTCCAGCCATTACGTTGAATTCATTAGTGATAAGGATCACCGGTTCGCCCCCCTCGACACATGTTCAATCACAATAATAATACCTACCATTGCGCTGCATCGTAAAGTATGGTTTGCAGCCTACGATGTTAGAACGGAGAGCGTGAAATGGACGTGTCCTAATACGGATATTGATACCTAAACGAAATCACGATTTTTACTAGATAAATCCGTATCACATGCATGACATTTTGTAATAAAATTTTCCAGGTAGAAATACTTGAAATTATATAATAGTGTACATGAGATACGAAACTTTTATTAACTTTATTCCGTGAATTATCCAACATATGATAATACTGTAGAAGCTGTGGAAAAATTGTAGGGGGGAACACAACGAGAATCGAACCCACGACCTCTAGGCTGGCAAGCCGGGACTACACCAACTACACTAACGCGCCCTCTGTCTTTTTTCTCGTTCTGGCTCTTGTAGTTTGGAATGGAGGCCCGATCCCCGATCTCACAATACATAGTTAAGTGGCCGGTCGAGTGTTAATACTCACTTATGAAATTTATGTTAACGTTCGGGTATTATATAACTCAATTATTGCTATTTAGGGAAATTGTTAATGTAACGAGTTTCATGTTATATCGATATTAAGCTTGTATTAAGGTAGAAAATTGACATTTTAAAATAATCGGCATTAATTATTTAACATTAACAAAGGAATGAACATTGCCTTATATTTATATAGCCGCTGTCGTTCCTAAAAAAAGACATATCAACGTGACAGAACGGAAATAGACATAAAAATGAATTCAACAAAAATTTACGACATGCATTTTATGGAGGCTATTCATTGTCGGCCCACACAGTAGCTACAGCTGCACGCACTCGATAGGATGATGACGTCGCTAGACACTCTCAAGAAGACATTAAGCTAGCTTTACACTCGTTCATGCCTCCAAGGAAGCGTTCACACGTTCTACGGAAAAACACACGTGCGATCAATCACTCCTACGAAAAGGGCACGACTCCAGGGCAACATCCGTCGAGTTCTCCTTCGGGAAAACTGTACGGTCTATTGAGTCACCTTTTTCACCAGACGAGGTCACTTAAATACCGTTTTCTCGCAGTCTATCTTTTTTTTTTACTGAAGAATTAATTGCCCGCCCGAAAGTTCAAGATATCGGATACCGTTAATGTAAGAAACATTGACTGGTGCTTTATCTTATATTACTCTTGCAATATTAATAAACATTAAAAATTTGTCTGGAAATTTTCAAGCATAAATTTTATCTGCCATTTTCCGGTCCACGTTGCTTTTGCTTCTACTCTGTACATTTTCTACATAACCTCTTTTTTAACCTTACAAAAAATTAAGTGAAATTCATCTCGGATGCTGTTTATAATAATCACATTATTCATAGAACCTGTATGTAAATAAAGAGACTACATTACAAAAAGATCGATAATTTAGGTTCTTTTCGAAAAAAATACGCTATGTTTTCATATCTCTTGCACATTTATTAAACTTTTAAATTTCTTTGTTAAACATGAGTAATAAGTAAAAAAAAAAACTCCTAACCTAAATTTAATTAATACGATATACTTTGGTTAACAAATGAAATGAACTGTAATAAAATTTTTCTGGGTGTAATTGTTGATATTAATCGATACTAAAAGTATTAAAACTTGTATTAAATCTGTAGGTTGGTGGAAAAATTTATTGAATGAACTTGTTAATAAAATATGATCATGACTTTACAATTTGTAAGACAAGTCGTATTGGAAAAGTTTATTACTCGATGGGAAGTTGTATCTTGAAACTTGCACGATGCACGAGAAACCTGCTTCTGTGAGAACGCGTCAAGCTAACAGGAAGAAACTAGAACGCTATAAGAAACCATTCGCGGAGAATGGAAACTGCTCGAGTTACGAAGAACACACTTTATACAGGAAGCCCGAATAGGTTCCCCTTAACACTATGACGACCGCTGACACTACTGTGGCGTCATGTGAATTTTAGCGGTTAGCGGCCGTTGACGCCACACTGTCGTAAATTCTTTTATCGCCTTTATAAAAATTAGTTTAAATATATGTGTTTGTTTATACATCATTTATTTACATTCTTGTTTATTTATTTATTTAGTACTTCTATCTTCTTACTTTTTACAAATTCAGAATTTCTGAATCTTTTTGCATCATACATAGCAAATATCAGATTTTGTAAATTCTTGACAGAAATTGTCGAACCCTGGTGAAAGTTATTCTCGAAAGTAGACGGTCGTCGTAGAGGTAACGAATGATATAAGACTTCATTCCGGCTTCATTTTTCGATACTTCTTTGTTGAATATTTTAAACAACAATTATTAATTATTACGCGTTTAAATATAAAAACAATAATGATTAATTATTACGCGTTTAAATAAAAAATTGAATATACCATTAAAAAAAAATAAAAATCTTCTATACGTCTCCATCTGTAAACAAACTATTGCCACTGTTGTCCTTCACGCAACCGTACTACTTTTGTAAATAATGTTTTTGCCTATTACTTGAAATAAGATACATACAAGATGTTTGAGGTGGACATCGTTAGTGGGACACCCTGTATTTACCTTTACATTTTATCTCGTTGTTTCCTACTTCAGTTTCTCTATCGTAATCGAGTTGAATTGAAGACTATCGATGCGCTTAGATTTTAGACTGTTTCATTGCCAGAAAGTTTTCGGCTTCGTGAAATGATTCATTTAAAAGCAAGCCGCAGACACGGCGGTGTTATCAGTAAAGCGATATTGCGCACTCACGATACGAGCGTATCGATTTCCTGTCTCGGAACATTCATGGCGAGTAACTGGTGTTATTACCTGTACGTGGAAATGACAAAAAGCGTTTAATCATTATGATATCGGTAATCTCAACGTCAAGATAATCATCTAAATCATCTGCAAGCCATTTCTACAATTCGCCCATTCAACTGATTAAATACATTTATGCAATTCAATCGTTTCACAATTTAATATAACTTACAAATTCAAAAAATCCAACGTTACAGTGGACGAATAATTTCATTGTGAAATATACTGCGTTCATCCTCGCTTAAGTGTACTAGTATATCTTCCACCATTATTTCGGTAGAAAATCATCTTTGTAGGCTATATTAGCTTTGTAGCTGGAAGGGGAAAACTTTATGGAACGCGAGAGTGAGAACCAAACGAAAAGATATAGGAGTTATAATTTTATTTTTATTTTTACTTGGCCACGCAATCCCCAGCGTCTTCATGTCAACTTGTTCGAAGCATCGCTGAATATTGACTAACTGCACGACCACACGCACACCAACGACAGTAGCTGAAATTTTCTGAGTCTTTCGAGGAACTCAGAACATTCAGGAATAAGCTTTTTTGCTTTTTCTCTTCTTAAAGAACCTGCATTGTAGAATAAATTACATATTAGTCACTGCATATTTATTTTCTTCAATCAGAAGAAAACCTGCGCAGTCACGTAAAATTATTTCTGAAACATATGGAGATGATTTTTTATCTGAACGCATGTGTCGGAGATGATTTCGACATTTTCAAAGAAAACGTCAGATTATTCTGTTGCATGACAATGCCCAGGCCACATGTTGCTTATCATACTCGACAAACCATATTGGAACTTGGGTGGGAAATTCTACAGCTTATTCTCTCGATATTGCACCGTCGGATTTTCACTTATTTAGATCGATGCAACGTAGTTTTTTCTGGAAAAATGTTTCGAAATGACATACAAAAATAGATGGATGATTTTATCAACGTGAAAAGGGAATCGTTTTACCGTCACGGAATTCAACTTTTGGCCGAGAGATGGCAGAAGGTTATACATAATGAAGGAAATTATTTTGATTATGTAACATCATACGACTTCGAAATTATTAATAAAGATACTCGACGTACAAACGGTTACTACTTTTGTATACACGTAATAATTACGTTCCCGGAACAGGAACACCTATCATCGATGTTTCCTGTTCAGTTTAAGTCTACGTAGCGTAATACGCGTTTTGCTGCTTTCCAGTGATCCATTCCTGGCTCTGCACAAAATCGGCTCAGCATTCAGCATACATATGTACTTGATGTGAACGCCAAATCGGGTCGCGTTTCGTTTACGAGATATATTCGGCCACCAATCTGAAGAAGTTTCTTCTTCATTTCTTTTTCTTCTTGCTTGCTTTTCGGTCTCATTTTTTTTTTTTATTCAGGTTGGTATTTGATTCTATCGGAGTGGATACCGGTTTCGAGATTTTCATCCCAATGTCGTTGATTTGATTTCACTTTTCTCGTGAGCCCTTTTGTTTCTACAGAGATTCCTATAATGTAGCTCACGAGACCGAGAGCGCGCATTTTGAATTTACTACACAGCAAACTCTGGATTTTCTTAATTTTCCACTGCATAGTGCTGATAGTAAAAGAATTTCGTTTTCCTTATTGATGCTTGTGTAAACACACGGATCTATTTGAGTATTTATAAAATCTATACTTGTTAGATGTCCATTTAACTTTTTATAGCCAGCTCTTCCGGTCTGTTGTAAACCGTATAATGGTTTCTTCAACAGGCACACTTTGTCCTCTACTACTGGAGTCGTGAACATTTCGAATTGCTGCATGTACATTTTTTCCAATAAATCTTCTTGAATGTATACAGTTACTGCGTCAATATGACTAACTCCCATCTTTTTTTTTATTTACTCACTAGATAAGAATATAAGGCTTTCTATCAATAAAATTTTTTCTAAAATTTTTTTCTCTGTTTTCAGATAAACGCCGCAATAAGGAAATCACAGAGACATACGCCACAAAATTTCCAGATTACACATTTCTTCGAACAAAATACGATTCCACTCTTTTCCGAAGCAACGATACATATTGCGTTGAAATTAAACCAAAACAAGGCTATTTGAGAGACATTGATTGGAAATTTCAAAAGTGTCCTTATTGTCTGACACAATATTATAAGGTAACAGAAATGCTAAATGTTCGTTATTAAATATCGATAATAATTAAAAAAAAGAGAAATTAATAAAATGTAACA